CCCCCCCCCTTTCCCTGATAGATCTGTTTGTATTTTTCCTCCTTATTTTTATTCTTGGCGAATCCTTTTTCTTTCTGTCTGGAGTGTGGGTGGCGTTGAAAAATATCATTGGGAATTTGGTTCTAGGATTGTTTTATTAATAGTTTTTGTTTACAAGGTGGCGGTGTGTGCCGAGAAGGGGTAGAAATGACAAGAGTGGCTGAAATGTTTTTCAGCTCTGTTGACTGAAGGTGCCTGACCTCCCTCAGCAGGACTCGGGTCTGGTGGCTCTAACTTGGCGGTGTCTAGGGGTCGGGAAACGGGTCTGATTTAGTTTCCAGAGAGAGATAAACAAACTTACTTGGATTTTGTGTTGGGTTTTTTTTTTTTTTTTGGAAGGGGGGAGGGAGGAGCGGCACTAGCTCCTGTTTGTGGCGTAAGGGTGGCTTATCGAAGGAAACTTCTGTTTGACGTTCAGCCTGCGCGTTTCTCTCTACAAAGCTGCTCTTCATATATTTTTCGCCTTGTTTTTAAGCAAATAGGAAATGACTACCGATCGTGCATGAATCGGAGCTATTTTTATCTGGGGGTTTAAAGTTACACACATGTCATACTCTGCCGAACGCCAATTGCGATCGATGCTTAATCGCACCGGGAGGAGGGTCGGGAATTCCAGCTGTTTAGTGTACGTGGGGGGGAAATAAAATCTTCCTTAGGGGTAGTCTGGAAAGAGGTCTGGGCCTGAGAGGGGCTGAGGCCCAACCTGATCCACTGCTGCTCCTTTCCCCTCCCCCTCTCTCTCTCTCTCTTTTTTTTTTTTTTTTTTTTTCCTTCCCCCTTTCGGTTCGATTTGTAGCCGGCATCTCCGGCGATCAGCATTTTAGGAGACAAAGAGCAGGTTTTTCTGAAGTGGCTTCCCTCGCTCTGTGTTTCTAGCGGCGGCCGGGGCCATGTGGTGGTAGGTAGAAAACCCCAAATATCTGGCATTCCTCACGACGCTGGGTAGTTTCCGCTCTGCTCTCTTTCTCCCCCCTGACAAAAGAAACCCAAGGCTTTTGCAAAAGCGAAGCTCTTGTTATTGTCGGCGCAGCCTTCCCGGTGTTTTGAGGGGTGAGGTTAGAGCTGTCGGTCTCCTGCGGACAACAAACTTAGGAAGTTGGATGTGTCAGATGACTCTCCTCACCACTCCTCCCTCCCCAGCCTTTTTTGTTTGTCTGCCTGACTTGCCTCGCCTGCCTGGGGTGAGCGC